CATCACAAGTGGTGTGAAAGGGATTATCCAATACTCGACTCATATTCCGTGGATTCAAATCACGGACTTGTATCGCATTATTATCTAATAGTTGTGGCCATAAATCATCCGGTTTTCTAAAAACAACCAAGTCATTAATTTTATTAAATAAACCCGGTTTATTAATAAGATTTCAAAACTCAATTTATACCCAGTTTTAGCAAAGTTGGTCCACATTTTCATGATATCACCACTAAATACAGTCTCTTCATGACTGAACTGATCCGGGTATAGAAAGGGTCGCCCAAATACAAATGGTACGTCGGCGCTATGGCATACCATTCCCGGTGGACACCCGGTGGCATTAGTCATGAATTGACTTTCAAACGTCAACTCATAGGCGTACACATTGTTGCCAGGTGCATTTGTGGCAAATTGTTTGGCAAACAAATACGTGGGGCATTTCATTATCAAATCACCAAGGAATACCTCAAACGCTCGCACACTGGCACCGGGATCTTTCGGGTCAATATTTTTTAGGTAGAATTGGGTCACATTTTCGGCGTCTAATCCGTGATATATGTCATTGACTTCGGACACCAATAACTTGAACCCCTCGGCAGTCAGGTTGTGAACGTCGGGGTCGAAATGACTTATGAATCCCGACTCCTCATCCAATGTCATTCCAGCAATTAAATCAATATCTATTGAAAATACATATATACTATTTAAAAGCTGTTTATTGAATGGCCTACGTTAATTTGGCCTACAGTTGATTTGACCTACAATAAAAAATGCACATAATACCGGCTAAATGTAGCTACATATACTATAAGTCAAATCAACGTAGGTCAGAACAACCGTAGGTCAAGTCAACATGTGTCAATTAAACGATTCCCATATTTAATACTCAAACATAATGCTATTTTTACCGGAATTAAACTTTTTGGTCTCAAATGCCTTTTGTATAGAAATGGGTAAAAATTCGGTGCCTTCGACCGGAAATACGTATAAAGACTCAGTTTTTAGGAACTCCTTTGCATCCACTCCTCGCAAACATTGTATCCATTGTTCAGATGTATTGCATTTTAGTTGTTCCGCCAATTTTTGGGCACTCGCTAAGGCCTCCTGTTTACTGATCACATCCCTGTCCTTGTTATACAGATGAGCCCCGCTCTCCATAATAGCCCTCTTAAATAGGCCTTTAGATAGTGGAGAGATTATAAGCGCGGACACCGACCAACTGCCGGCGCTCTGACCAAATACAGTAATATGATCCCTATCCCCACCCAATAAATGTATATTATCTCTAACCTGTAATTAATTATAACATTAGTTAATACTTTTCCACTATAACTTTGATTAGAGTGTTGGCAACATATCCTTGACCCGCATTTTGAATACAACCCCTTAGGCCTGTAGCATGTATAGATCTAAGAGGTTGCGCATACAAAGTGCGGGTCATGGATATGTTGCAAACACTCTATAACTTTTTAAATACCCATTTAAGTGCCAATAACTGGTCATAAAAGCCGACATTTCCGGGCGCGTCCTCCCGACCCCCATATAAGAAGCCAAACGGACCTAATCTATAGTTTGTAGACACGAGTACGACATCATTAGTGGCCAAAACACTGGCGTTATAGGGGGTCATAAATATTGAGCCACTGGTGAGACTCCCTCCGTATATCCAAAACATGACGGGTTTTAGTGGTGAGCCTTTCGATGAGCTATTTTTGCTCGTATTCGGTGTCCATATGTTTAGTACCAAACAGTCCTCGTTTTGGATGAGATCGATATCGGAGTTTGTGGCAGTATTGAACTGACCCAGGTGATTACTTGGGAGTTGCAAACAGGAGTTCCCGGTTTTTGTCGCGTCTATTATTATCTGGGTCATAAGGTGTTAATTATTAATATGATAACAAATGTTTAATATAATTTATGATACAAATGTCCAAAATCTTACTTTCAATGGCTTTTTAATAGGTTCTGGTTTAGCAAACCTAAGCCCACCGACAGGGGGTTCGGCATAAGGTATACCCAAAAACTGGTTGACACTTGTGTTCAACACATTTATAGTGAGACCTCTCACTACACCTGATGTCGTGTTCACTTCAATACTGTTTGCAAATTGAATGGCAAATATGCTCACAAAATAAATGAGTAAGGTTAATTTAAACATTATTTCGCTCTAATTGTATTTATTTATTTATAAATACAATTTAAATTTAATGACTTAAGTACTAAACCCAAGTTTCTAGCATTACAAAATGTCTGGCAATTCGATAATAAGCCTTAATTTATTTTATCTTAGATATTAATTACTTGATAATTTTATATATAGTATTGTAGAGATCTAAAATTAACCATGAACATTATCTATTTTCAAGAGACAATTTATTTATCAATTAATTCAGGTTGTCTATGTACTCGTGCACCTACATTTATTACATTGTATTTTAGAAACCTGCGACTTTATTATTGATATTTTTAAAATTGGATTTGTGTTAAATATTACAAATAATGTTTAACAAGATAATTTAAGATAACATTCTACAAATAACAATTATTTAATCTAAATTAGATTTAATATACTCACACAATGGACTACAAATAGGGTATTATATTAATGCAAATTACAGTAACACACATTAAAATTATGTTAAAAATTAGAATTAATTATTAGAATTATATTTATGAAAATAAAGTTAGTTATGCAAGTTCCCATTTAAATAAATAATTATGATACCATGTTACATGAAAATAACGCTAAAATAAAATAACAGTTTTTAAAACTCATGAAATAATTTATTTAAAAAGAACATAATTTTGTCTTGTAAAATACTTTAAATATTTAAGTGATATATAAATTAGGCGGGGCTCACAAAGTACGTACAAACTCGTAGAGATAAAGGGGTCGTGCCCAAACGTTTGTCAATATGTAAAGGTCCTATGAACGATGGGCGTGTCATTTTTTTGTGAATGGGGTCATTTTTTGTTCAAAATTTTGAATTCGAACTTTGTACATGTCGGCTTATAAAATAATTTAAAATTAATTACTAATTGCTTACAAAAATATATTGATAAGAATAATATAATATATTTATAGCTTATTATTTAAATGACTTTAATAAATTATACTAATTAAAATAGATGGGAATTATAGACAAAATGTTTAAAAATCTAAAATATTTTAATTTATAAAATTAAATATTTTATTTAATTTAAATAGATACAGTATAACAATACCCAAGGACACAACTATGGTTAAAAACACATACTTGTTAATAATGTTACACAGGGATCCTAAATATTGGTACAACTTTAATGATTTTATACTTAAACTAAACATCACCTCTATACATATATGTAATCTTGTGGGGGACCTAGGTAACGCATTGAATGAAATGCAAATGTGCCTGACTAAAATGGTACACCAATTTGAGTTTAAATTTGCCCTATTGTATAAGTTAGATTATTTTAAAAATTAACCAGCTATATCATCCAGGAAGTTGTTATGTTATATTAAATCTGGGAATTAAATTGTGTTTGAAGTATTTAGTAACAACTTTTATATTTTATTCTAATTTATGTTAGGGTATCATTTTAAATAACTTATTAATTATTGTTTGTTATGTTTTATAGCATAATAAAAAAAATAATTTGTAATTCATTTAATTGTTAGTTTTGTATTGCAATAATGTAACTATATTGTAATCATATATTTAGGTAATATAGTTAAAATAAAATATAAATTAAACAGTTTCATTTATGTAAAGGTATAATTTAAAAAATAATACGATTTTATATAAAAACATATAATTAGTCCTTTATAAATACTAATAATATTATTATTTTTATAAAGATCATTTCAAACTGTAAATAGTATTCAATATTCTTAATGAATTAGTAATTGATTAAATTTAATATTTATTGGATCAGAACTGATGCAAATCACAAATAAACAACCATTTTCTACTAGCTAATTAACAAGCAACAAGGCAAATATGATTACTTTTGTTGTTAAAAATGCATTTACCGTTATATTGTGGAGTCCACAATGTGGAGCTCAATGATTTAGTGATAGTGCTTGTACCTGGACTTTTAACAAAGGTCATAAATATGTGCTGGCTAAGATGTCACATCTAAATAGTAATAAATAATTAATTTCGTTAATTTACCATTATAGAATATTTTTAAATAATTTATATAATTAAATATATCTATACTTAATTAACTGAAATAAATACTGTATTATATATTATTTTACTGACTTAATATTTTAATATATACAGTAAAACAGTAATAATGGCTATTAATGGAGAGTTATTTATAAATAAATTTTTGTTTAAAATATTTTTAATTGTTTAAGCAAGCAAACTATTGTATTTATAAATAAATAATTTTAACTATTACAGAAATGATAAATATTATGCCTAAATAAATATAGAAATTTGACTAAAATTATAAATATCTTCAATTAAGACAAGCTAAATATTTGTAAAAACTAATTATAGCACAATAAAAATTAATTCATCCAATGTATTTAAATAACCAGCTTTAGTAATTGCATTTAATTTAAAATAATTACACCAAGAAATTACTTTTACAAAATGTATTACAGGGTAGCCTTTTATTAGCGATATCATTTTGATTCTCGTTTATTTGAACACCC